AAAAAAAATCAGGCAAACTCCCGGTCAACTCTGCAACTCTTCCCTATTCATAGGGGTCAAAGCTCTGATTTTTCATGCTGACTGGTACTCATTATCGTGTTTAGCACACTGAAATGATTCAGAAAAAGGAGGGGAACTTAACGTCGAAAAAGTATGTGGAAACTCTTTTGATGCACTTCACGCTACAAGCTTTCTGCTTTTTACTTCTCTACAAAATGGAATAAAAGTTGCTTTTATGTGGAATAGTAGTTTGCCATGGGTACGTCATGAAAGTAGAAAAATCTTATTGAGTTAGTTTTGTTGTGCAGGTTGCAGTTGAACAACAAAAAAGTTGCAGGAACATCTTTGTCAACTGCTAGATCTGCGCATTCTACTGCTGTACAGCGGTCAATTATTGTTAATATATTCAAAACTGTAGTGAAAGTGTTCCACTCAAATCACCGGGTTACTTAGGTTCTTAGACGGCCTGCCTTCATGGTCGTGCAGACCCCAGTATTGTTTCCGTCCATTTTTGTCTCTCGCTAGAGGATCAATGATGTCTATTAAACTGCGGCGGCGACGTTCGCGAGGTCCAGATCCATCAATCCTGAGAATTCCTATCCTTATCAGCTTAGAGTTCAGCTGGTCCATCCGTGCCACGAGCACGTCAGCATCTGGTCGAAGATTCCCTCGTTTCCTTCAAGGAGGTTTTGTTTTTTTAACAACCAATTCCGGAGTTCTAGTATCCATCTTTTGACATTGGCGGAGACGAGACATTGATCTCGTCTGAACTACGAAGACGAGATATTGAGTGCGTCGGTTGTACTTCAAAAGACGCCGTTTCAGCGCACTGTGGGTTGCTCAAAGTGCCTTCGACGTAGCCACAGTGTCAGGTTACGTCTCCGCTGCGTAATAGAGCAAAGGGAGAACAGTTAAACCAAATAGGTGAGATGGAGCTCTGGGTCCTCCAGCCGGTCTGTGGCTTCCTTTAGAGACCTAAAGGCGGCCCAAGCTACTCTTCGCCTCATATTTAGTTCTTTTTTGAGATCATTCTCCATGTTTATCGAACGTCCGAGATATACGTAAGAAGACGCCTCCGCGATGCGAAAGCCTTCTAATTTCATTTCCTGATCCTGGCATAAAATGTTCTTTATAAACTGAGTCTTCTTCCGGTTAATTCGCAGTCCTATCCGCTTCTTTTCTTTGTTTAATACTTTCAACATTCTCTGCTTCAGATGGCGGTAAAAGCTTTAGTTACATGCTGTCGCCTTGTCGAACCTTTTTTGGAATTAATTTGCTAAAGGGGCGTAAAGCTGTACTTTTGAAGCAGTTCTTGTTGCCGTAGGCTAATGTCCTCAAGTGAAATAAGTCCACCCTTGGTCGACGAGCGCTGGCAGTATGGCATTAGTCTCGGCGCTGTCAAATACTTTCTCATAATCGAGGAAGGTAGGACTAGAGGCAAGCGATACTCTCGGCAAGCCTCGAAAATTCTCAAAGCTGTCTGGATATAATCTCTTCAGCTAAATCTTTTGCGAAAACCAACTTGTTCTACAGGTTGAGTTTCTATCGCTCTCCTTGATATACGAGTGAGTTTAATCTTCGTGTACACAGCCCACTTCCATTCACGTTTTTTTACAAAAGGAAAATAGATTAGTCATCCTGTAACCTATAATGAAATTTTAGCTGCGTAACAAGTGTTCATTTGGAACAAAGCTGAACGATTGATCCTCCCATCCGTTATCATACCCTCTGTCCATTCCTTTTTAACGCAGTATTTGTCAGACATGGCCGATGTGGATGCACCCCAGCAGGCGTAAAAAAAACTTATTAGAGAAACACCAATTTCAATTCAGACCCAACTGCTTTTGGTCTATGTGTGAAGGTTTGTAAATGTCTAACTTGCTGTTAACTAAATTATCTAACTTTAACATACTAACTACTATTTTCTGTGCACCATAATTAGTCTGATTAGAAAACCCTTCTTTAGATTCTTGTATCTATGGTTGCATAAAGATACTATTTTGTTCGAACTTTCCCCTTATAGAGTTGCTTTCTTGTTTCCACTCTATTTCTAGTCAAGGCTTTCTAAGCAAGCTTGTGTTGGCATATAGCACATTATTAAAATTTCTTTCAAAGTAATGCGGTAGCATAGAGTCGAGAAGGCTAAACAATTAGATTTCTGTGAGCCACACAACGAAGGATAAATATCTCTAAATGAGGATCAGTGAAGGAAAAGAGCATTTTGCTCATTGATTGCGAGGAAGACATCTCTTCCAAACCTATAGCTAATGATTTTACAATTAATTATTAAGCCAAATTTATGAGGGTTCAATGAATGAAAAAAATAAACAAGAAAATAAACCGGTCAGAAAATTTAAAACGAACTTTGCTGCGATTTGCATGCTTTGTTCTTGAGCGTTTTGTGTTAGCACATCATTGGTAAAAGGACAACATCAAAAG